GGTTGGACTTGTCAAGTCCCTTGTGCGGGCAGGATGTTGACTGGGTTGAATATCATCTCTGTTTTCCCACGGTTCGGTTCTTTTTTCGTGGTGAGTTGAGCCTAGACAAGCAGAATTTCCTGTGTGCTTTCTACACTTCTGTTTACTGCCACTTCAGCTTCAGGGTCACGGTGGAACCTCGTTCAATTCTAGCCAGGCCATATATATTGGGCGATCACGATTCCCCGGTGTATCATTTTTCTCGGGTTGATCCGTTTCTTTTTCTCGGCTGATTATCCGTTCTTTAAGATTATGGCTCCTTTTTGTTTGTACAACTGTCAGTTCACTTGCTTCTATCCCCAAATGTGCTTTCTCTTTATGCTCATCTGGCTCTCGGAAGGGCGTGTCTACAGCTTTCTTACAGCTTTGGAGTTGCTTCTTTTCATTCCCATCGACCGTTGTCACCAAGCCCACAGCCTTCCACAGCTTTCTTGGCAGATCGCAGCTTATCGCACGGAACAGCAGTGGAGCGACCATTGACGGCAAGATGACGCGTCACCGGCATGGCATGCATATATAGAGAACCCCTGGCTGTCGGCTTGCTCACCCCCGCTTCCCTGAGCCCTCCTCCTACTGCATCTTTGCTATTTAATATTTATTCTTCGTCATTGGGGCTCAAAGTCCGGATTATTCATCAATTGTGCCGCACTCTGGGATATCTTGGGATACTCTTCAAGTGTTGTCTCAAGCTCCTCAAGCCGCCTCCTTCCTTTTCATCCCGCCACCGCATCCCCACTTTCTGACTGTCACTGAGCTGCGTCCCTCGGTAATCACACCGGCCTGGCTCAAGTGGAACATTGACCCCGGTCACCAAATACTGCTTTCGGCGTCGCATCCCCAACGGCCCCTCCGCGCATGATTGGCGGCGTGCTCATTTTGCTTCAACCTGCCTCCCACGCCGCCCTGGCGGAGTTTGTTCGTGAATTGTGATATCAACCGCGCAGTTTCGCATTTCTACAACACTCGACGTGTCGGCAGACTCGATGGGACACGGGGAACACGGGGTACGATCGTGCGTGGCTCTCTCAGAGTCTCACCGCTTTGACTCTAGACTGACCCGGCTCGAGTGGACGTGTCGCTTTCAAACCTCAGGGCGTCGTGCGCCACGCCACACGCTCTGACTCGAGATGGTCACTTAGCCTCTTTGACCCCGGACCTGGTCTCCGGTGTACTCACCAACTGGCCATCTCCTCTCAAGCCACGCGTCGTAATTTACCTCATCGACCTCGAAGCCGCGAGCTTCGTTGCCTCTCCCCGACGCCTGTTGTCGCTTCAGCAACGTACTACCACGAATCGCACGGTGTGTTCCCCCTTGGACCTCCTACTACATACAACTCCTGGGTTGCTCTGATTCCCACTCTCGACGACTGACCGTTCACCAAACGACTCCCATCGTGGTGCCCGAGAACCACGGCACAGTGCGAGTGCGACAGGATATGCAAGGTAACGCGCAGAGCGCCACTGCGTGCGGGATCCACGCGGTGGGTCAAACGTGGATGTACGTTCATGTGTTTTTGCTCAGTTGCATTTTCCCTTTCTGAAAACTTTGCAACAGGAGAAGAATTTCAGCGTAGATGTTCAATCCGGGGAAGGGTGGAATCTGGATGTCCCATGTAGTTATACGTGGCTTTGAATTGGCTGTTGTTGATGTTCTTGGCCAAAATGTCTATTCCTTCTCATCCAAAGCGGAAATCGAAGTGCTGGCCGCTCAAAAATCGTGTGGAGTTTAGAGCAAATCCCGGTGTTAATGGAATGCTGCCGGAGCGAAGCGAAGGCACGTCTTGTCCGTTTCTTTTTTTTCGGTTAATCCGTTTGGGGTGCAGCAGCGTGGCGTCCGCGGTGACGCAATGTACCGAGAATACGATGAGTCACGGTTCCTGCAGCTCAACGTTGTCGGTTGAACTTGGGTTGAACACACTGATCACTCGGGAGGTTGGCGAACCAGATGGCCCGGCATCAAAAGGGTTAATTACATAATCGTCTGATCACTAACACTCTTGGCTTCCACCGCCATGTCCACCCAGCCGAAGACGCGGGTTATGCAAGGTGCGGAACGGAGCACGTGTTCCAACATCTGTCCTCGATGCGCCAAGAAAGAGAAGAGATACATAATGGACGTTCGTCTTCTACTTATTCGCTCCGCGTCCTCGTTGGCAGATTATTGAGATGCCCAGTTGGTGGTGCCACTGGCGCTCCATGCCGGAAGACACGCATCGGCTCAGTGGGTCGTGCAAATTTCCCAGTCGCTTCGAGTTGCACTTCATCGGATAAGCCTGCCTGAAGTCTGAAGTGTCCATCGTCAATTTTTCATCGTCAGTTTTTCATAGGCAGACCGGTTCCGGTCTATTCATCGGAGAACGCCGCCAGTCCGAGAAGCCGGTCACTGTCCCGAGCTCACGCCCCGACTAATCGAACATTGCTTCTGAAGGTTAAGCTATACCCTTGAAGCTTGGGACAAGGAACTCGCTGATCACGCGTAGGTTTCTCCACGCTTTCGCAATACCCACATCCTCTTCTGACGCTCGTCCCCAGTCGAGGAACTCCAACTCCAATCGTCTTGTCTCTTCGGAGTCCACCGTGTGCGCGTCTCAAGTCTGGTCCTGGGGCCTTCATGGACGGTCGCTCTTCTCGGAGACTAGCTAGGCTCGAATCCAGCCTGTCTTATCGAAAGTGATACTGTCGTCTATCGACACTTTCCATAGACAGACCGGCTCCGGTCTAGAGACTAGCACTTTATGGTGCTAATCCAGAGCACACACCAGACATGCGTTTCATGAAATGGGTATGGTACGTGAACAGTTCAAGACGTCAATCAATCGTAACAAAGCAATTTTACCGGCAAGGCCTGGGTCACCGATGCACGGTCCCAGCCTGAACTGACGCCGGCTCAGCCCCAGCATCGTACCCACCCGCGCCAACGGTATGCGCGCCTCCATACGCCTCGGTCTGCATTCCACCCATCTCGGCCTTGCCTGCGTACCCACCCGCCGTTGAGGCAGCGCCTGGAGAGAAGAACGGCGCCTCGGCGACGGACGAGTTCCATACGCCCTGGTGTCCGCGGTTCAGCGCGACGACGGAGAGGATGAGGATAAGGACGGTGTAGGCTAGGACTGGAGTACATCGGAGGTGAGGTATGCAACTTGAAAAGAGAGCGATGCAACGCACGGATAATCCAGTTGATAAACCCAAACGCCTCGATGGCGGAGATTTCTCGGCAGTTGGCGTCGATGGTGTTGTCGATGTACCCACACCCGGGGACGAATACTTTATTAGCAGCCGTGACAGCCTGTCCTCCAACAGCAAGCCAAAGGACCCATAGGATCGCTAGTGGAACTCTCAAATCAGTATGGACCCGCGAGTAAATGGCGTAGCCAAACGCACAAAGCCAAGAAAGCTCAACGAGGATCGAAGACGTGAAGAACGCGCCGGGACGGAGGTATTCCAGCACTACCCTGACATACAGGTTGAATGAACGTTGCGCGTGGGAGCGGTGATAGCAGGACGTACATTGCAGGGACAGACAGCACCGTCAAGACACCTATGGCAACAGCGAGTCCCGCCGCAGACTTGTACTCCGTGAGCCAATTTATCGGCGTGCTCAGCGCTGCGGCGCCGACGGCGAGCTCGATCAGGGCGAAGAGCGATACGACGCCTAGACGGATTCAACATGGAGAACAGCGGGGAAGACGAAAGCCTCACATAGGGCAACGAAGCGGATGATAGAGATGAGCGCCATGGCGTTGACTTGACGGGGCTGAGTGAGGGGAGGGAGGGGGAGGACAGTCGTCCTGACAGTCGAGTCTTTTATTCATTCAATTGGCGCGCCACAAAATTAACTTGGCACATAATAAAGTAAGCGAGGCAGGGCGTCTGTTTCTTGGCAATTTTTTTCAACCCTGCCGCTGATAATCATCTGCACTGCACCTTCAAGGCACCTTGAGGCACCTTTGTCTTTGGAGTACATTCGGCCTCCGAATCCGATTGCGTTTGAGCAATTCAAGGATGGATGAACATGAACCGACTAGACTTGGAGGGCTCCCGGAGGCATGGTTGCCGACGTTTCAGAGGCTAGGAACCCTCGTAGGTGTGTAGGCTGTGATCCGAGCCCGTACCCGGGTAACCCGAACCCGCGACCCGGACTATGAGTGTCCGATTGCGTTTAGCAATTCAAGGTATGGATGAACGTGAATCGGGTGGACTTCGAGGGGCTCCCGGAGGCATGGTTGCCGACGTTTCAGAGGCTATGAACCCCTAGGAGGGTGCAGTCGGTTGATTAATTTAACAGGCCTCGAGCGTTGATGGACACAAACTAGTCGTACTCATCAAGAGTCGAGTCGCTGTCAAAAGCCCACTCGAAAAATGACGGCAGTTGAGGACATTCCGGATCCAACGATGCGGGGTTGTATTGCTTTCAGGTACCAATCCGCCAGAACGGTTCAACCCTGCAAAGGAACGAGGTGGCCGTGATATTAAATCCGATAGGATCACGTCAACGTCCATCTGCCAATGTTATCGCATTTCACCTGTCCGCCAAATAGGCGATTTCAATCTTAATAGACGCCCGCTCCAACCGAAAACGAACGCGTAAGCGCTGAGCCTTAACTGAGCGCCGATGAAAAAAAATCGGGATACCTGGCTCTTGACGCGACACAATTCGCTGTCCATGAATGTTGCCTTCCCCAAACTTCCACTACCGATTGCCTAGCTTGATTCCGTTGACCAGCCTTTGGCCTATATGTAAAAGTACATCACGTGCACTCGCTTGATCCCTCTGAATCTCACTCAAATCTCACTGCCCTCTTGAGGCCAGTGGCCCAAGGGAATATGGAAGGAGGCGACAAGGTTGTGCAAGTGATAAATCAAACGAGAGATGGCCATTCGTTTTTCGGAGCGAGGTAAATTAAATTGGGATGATGAACTAAGTCCGAGGAACCAAAAAAACAGAACCAAAAGGGAGGCAACGACACTGGCATGATTCGAACATGCGCCCAACAAGTGGAACAGATGGATGTAGGATAAAGCTTCTCTATGATTCGAATCTGTCGCGTTAACCACTCCGCCACAGTGCCAATAGCGGCGAAGAATCTATGTGAGCTCCCTCAATCCACAACGCTCGCGATGCCTGTGTTTCGGAGGCCGATCGACGACCCACCTTTCGTGCCGTGGTGGCTTTCAAGTCTGAGTTGAATTATCGGTTGAATTGATTCTGGACAAAGGAAATCCAAGAAACATAATGATTAGGACAAAGTGACAGCACAGTGGATTCCGAACAGACTCACGCGACACCTGTAAATTCCGGCGAGTGAAGCACGACCCTAGCAGGCCCAAGTACGCAACACACCCACGAGAATATTTTGTGGGATCAAATAAGAGTGGCGGCGAGAATAACAGATTTAGTAGGAGAAACTGCGGCAGCCGTACAGAAATAATACCACTCCAGACTGCAGCGCACTTCCGTCCCTACTCCCAATCAGCCAACGCCGCACCTTTGGTGATAAATCAGCCATATTTTCCACAGCAAGAAACAAAAGTGTACAAACGTCGCCACTGTGTCAAACGCAGCAACCCACGCTCATCCAGAGCCGTCAAATACGACCGGGTCGTCGCCTCATATTCCGAGAACGACCTGTTACCGGCTGGAATAAGCCTGATTTCCACCGTCTTCAAGGATTTCAACCGCGGGATGGCCGTGTCGATGGTATGGTTGAGCAATGCCTCCTGAGCAGCGTCTGGCACCGCCGACACCGTGTCAAAGGCCATCGTCTCGAGTCGAGAGTCCTGTGGAAACCCTTTAAACACGGTCATCATCGCCGAGTTCAAAACCAGCGTGAAGATGCGGAGTGAGCGAAGGTTTTGTGTCAGCAGTGGAGTCGCAATTAGGGATGGGCACCGTGCCGTACATACGGCAGTACGGTACGGTACGGTCCGGTACGGCCGTACCCGTACTGGCTCTCGAGGCAAGAAGTACGGTACGGTGAGTCGCCGTACCGTACCCGTACTGAGCCGTACTGGCATGCCGAGGATCGGCAGCTCTCCGTTACCGTCTAAACCGCGTGGAATGTTGACCGGTGACATCCTGAAACATGCCGGTAGGCCTTTTGCGCCCCCCGCGCTGTTTTGGGTCGCCACGAGCGCTGCCGGCGTCTCGGCTACCGGGCCGAGTACGGTACGGCCGTACCCGTACTGCCTCCTCGAGCTCCCCAATACGGTACGGTTACGGTCCGGAAAGCGCCGTACTCCGCCGTAAAAGTACGGTCGTACCGTATACGGTACGGTGCCGATCCCTAGTCGCAATCTCGCCGCTTGGAGAAAACATCCCAAGATCTCGGATGTTATCGGACATCGGCGGCTGGCAAACCGCACGCCTCCACTGGTTGTCGACCCCCAGCCACGATGTGAGCGAGGTAACGCGAGACAAGTTGATCCAAGGGGGCATCGGGATCGGAAAATCGTACCGGGGGAGGGGGGGGGGGGGTCTCGAGCGGCCTCGAAAAAAACTTCTACCCATATATTACTGGGCTCGTTCTGGGGGCTTTGGAGCACCTTCTCACACATATGGATAGTAGTAAAACATCTTGCTTAGGACTACAAACCCTGAGAGCCTTTGAACGATCAAAATTTCCAAATTGGGAACGGTATATTACATAATACATCACAGCTCTTCCGATATTTATTCACAAGTAGTGAAGATTATTGCTCAGGGTGGTCATGACATGTGTAGAATACACCCTGGCATCTCCGGAAACATGTTGGTTCATGTCCTATTGACATTGGTTGTTCGGAGCCAGGCGGACCGCCGCTGATGTCACATGACTGTGGGAATGATCTGCCTTATATAGTAGGGGAGGGGGGGGGGGGGGGGGGGGGGGTCCAGCCAAGGTCGAAAAAATCTTTTCGACCCTATATCCGATTTTCGGATCCCGATGCCCCCTTGAGTTGATCGCAGGATTCACCAGGTAGAGGCAGAACGGCTGTCCGCAGATTGATGACATGCTGAGCGATTCAAGCCGTGGCCGCCATGGCTTGGACTCGGGCCAAGGCTCGTGCTTGCTCCCCTCTTGTGCAAAGAAGACGCGTCCAAGCGTCAATGATTTCAAGGAGGTCGCTTCGCTGAAGAGCGACAACAACTCCTTGGGCGAATGTATCAAAAGCCCCCGGATATGCACCGACTCTAGATGCGGCGAGGAGAATATGACGGTCAGGGCAGATTTGAGCGAGCGGCCGAACTTGTCCCAATTCATTGTGAATTGCCCGACTGCGTTCCAGCTCAACGGCGATTCTTCGACAATCGATATGCGTTTGAGCCGGATGAGGGCAGGGAGAACGAGTGCAAGCGTCCTGCCGGACATGACCCAGGTAGGACGGCGCTCGGAAGTGTAGGAGCCCTCTGCGTCAATGGCGAATGACGTCTCGGAGCCCACCAGCACAATCCGCAGCTCGTGTACGAGGGTCGCCAAGTGAGGTGACGAGGCGATTGTTTTCTGGAACTTTTGGCACGGATTGGGCCCGCTTTTGTCTGGAGTCGGGGGTAGGATTTCGATCTTTTTGAAGAGATGGACCTGTGTGGGCCGTACGAATGGGCGCTCAGCGAGCGAGCAGGATCTGAGGCTTTCCTTGTCGTCCGCGATGTTCTGGACGACGAGATCCACCAGTTCTTGCGGGAGCGGCATTTTCCGAGTCCGGTCACCGGTGTTCTCTGCAGCTTGTCTGCAGCCCTGACATCCACGGATCTTGCAGCTGAGATTGAGCTGGATAATCTGAGCAACACGAGCCTTGGATTTCCCCAAGATGTCCCAGTTTGACCCGGGGCCACCGAGAAAATCGGAGGAAAAGTGCTACCTGCGACTTAATGTCCGACAAGACCCTGTCTGGATTCGAACCAGAGAAAGAGAGACCGCGTTGCTCTTAGGAACTGGATCATCTGCATTTGCGTGCACGCAACGGGAGTACCGACACAGTCTGCACAGAAATGGACACTCTGAACCCAAGCCTGCCAAAAGCCCGGGCAGCAATATGCCATGCAGGTTTAGAACACGGCGCGCTGCGAGTTTTTTCTGTCTCACTATGACCGAGGGCCTTCCGAGGTCACCGAGCCAAAATTAATCCAGTCTGCAATGATCATGTAAACTCCGTCTGGACTCGAACCAGGAACTTCAGCGCAAACGAAAGACTTATAGGTTTGCTCGAAGCACTGCACAAAGGAACTTGTATTCTATATGTACATGCCAGCGTGAACGAAATGTGTTTGAAATGTGTTTCTCCTTGCTGCCTAGGTTGATAAGCAAGCGGAAAAAGCAGCGGCGGTACAAAAGAGTTGCCTATCTTGGAACTGGACGAGTTCGCCGACTGGATTCGAACCCGAGCATGCTGGAAGGAAGAAAGGAACCAGGGCAAGCAGCTGCGAGGCTTGTAGCTGATACCTAATACACATATCGGAACCTGCTATTCTTCCTATCCGTAATATTCAACCACCTCTCCCTGCTGAGCAAATCCTCCTCGCTCAAATCCGAGTCCTTGCTCTCCTTCCGACTAGAACTTCTGTCCCTCCGGCGGTTCTCGATATAATAATAACAAAACAAAAGACACGTCGTGAGGGCAGCTCCCGCCAACGACCCCATCACAGCCAACTTCGCCGGTCGGTAATCCGGTGCATCGCGTGGCTGGAAAGTCTGTGGGCCCATGATATTGCCAATACTGAAAGACCCGCTGACGAGTGCAGCGGCGAAGGCGCGTTTTGTGGAGCCTGCGACGTTTGCTGCTGTCCACTAGTCGAGTTGCGTCGGCGTCAGTGTCAAAGAAGTGAGCAAGATACGCACGGCGTAAAAGATGGGCAAGGGTGCGGTGATGGCGTTGACGAGGTAGATGCCGGCCAGACACCCCGCCTTGTTGCTCGTGGGCATGAAAGACATCAGTGCACCGCCGATGATCCTAGGCCGAGTGAGTCGCGATCGAATCTCCAAACAAATGGACAATGCTCACCCTGGGATTATGCACGCCAAAGTCCACGCCCAGCGATGTGACTGCATCCGAATGCCATAGCCGACAAGTAGTATGAAAAATATTGACACGGCCCCACTAGGCATGTTCATCAACGCGGCTTGCTTCGAGTTGTACCCCAGGTGGCTGATCAGAGTGGCCGAATACGTGGTAACCACACCGCTGGGGACGGAGAGCTGCAGGAGAATCAGCGCACAAGCCTTGGAATCACGAGTTGAAATTGAAACGCACACAAATCGTCGACAGAAGGAGCAGATAAATCTGCGGATCGCACAAGGCCTCAACGATTTCCGCCCAACGAAACTTGGTGCGATTCTCCACCCCCGTCTGGTTGACGCTAACATGCCTCAGTAGCACCACCTTTTCAACATCAGACAACCACCTCGCCTGCATTGGCGTATCCGGCAAAAACCAAACGGTCAGAAACCCAATCACCACCGTCGCACACCCCAGCACGACAAACATGATCCGCCACCCCGCAAGCGTCACCTCTCCGGCTGTGAGATGCTGAAATCCAAACGAAATTGCCCCACCCGTAATCTGCCCGACCCCGAGCCCGAGGTACCAAAACGAGAACCGGACGGCTTGCTCGGATTTGGTGTACCACCTACTGCTTATGAGGAGGAGAGAGGGTCCGATGGTGGCTTCGAATATGCCTACGAAGATCCGGGATGCGAGGAGGGTGTGGTAGGAGTGCGCGGCGGCGCCGCTGGCGGTGGCTACGCCCCACAGAATGACGTTGACGCCGAGCCATTTGCCTGCGGGGAGCATTTGGAGGCAGTACGCTGGAGTGGATGATTTAGAGCATGTTTATGTAGAGAGGAGAAGGCTTACTGTTGGGAATCTCGAATATGAGGTAGGCGACGAAGAAGAATGTCGCGACGTTGCTGAATTCGCTCCCGACCAATTTCAGGTCCTTGGTAAGTCCCATGACGGCGCCGTACTGAATAAATTATTTGGTGGAGACACGACGCAGTTTTGTGTGCACTCACATTGATAGCCACCTTGTCGAGGAATTGCGTCGTATAGCACAAGAACATCAGGGAAACGATATGCCAGTCTACCTTGCGCC